TGGGCCCCACATCCTGCGGAGAAAGGGCCAGAGTCCTACCCGCCCACCCCCGCCGCCCACCAGTCACATGCCCATGACAGACCAGTGTCAGGCCTGCCTCTGCTGCCCACTGGGTCTCCGTCCCCATGCTGTCTGTGGCTGAGTCCCTGGCTGCCTCCCAACTCTGCCCCTTCTCACGCTCCAGACTCTACAAGGGAGAAGAGGCGACTCGGCCAACGGACCTGCAGCCTGACCTTCCCCTGGGGCCCAGCTGTCCACTGGCTCACCTCTCCCCTGCCCTGGAGACACAGCGGGGCCTCCTTTGATCAGAAGAGGGGCTGGGGGTGGGTGTAGGAGAGAAGGCTCCCTCTGAGCACCGACACCTCACCCACCTTTTCCTTCAGGACTCCCCTGGGGGGTCATTGTTAGTCACTCATTACCCTTCGGGGCCCTCTGCTGATGACCCCCAGCACCTCCACTCCCGGGCCCCCTCCCTGACCCGGGGGAGCCAGGTCCACCTCTGTTCCCTCCACAGCACACACCCCCTGAGTAGAGGCTGGTCTTTGCTCTCCTCCCACAATCAGAGTCAAGACATGGGGGTAGCAGCCCTCCCTCCAGGCCTGGAAAGGGGTGGCATCTGCCCCAGAGCACAGGGACCTCTCGGGGCCTCTCCCAGGTCAGCCGGCTGCAGGCTTCCCGCGGCCCAGCCCGAACCAGAGAGGCAGCTCTCCTGGGCCTGCGGGAGGCCCGGGCCAGCGCTGCCCGCACCGCCTCCCCGCTCCCCAGTCCCCCAGCCCCGGAGAGCGGAGCAGGAGAAGGTGGCTCACAGACTCCAAGTCGGGGCTGCAGGGCCTGGAGCCACTCAGTTGTCCGGCACCCGTGAGAAGGGCGGTCCAGGTCGGACAAGGCCTGGCGCGGAGCACAGCCGGGACCCGGGCCTCTGACTCCGGCCTGGATTTCCCGCAGGAGCACAGACAGGACCCCCAGAGGCACAGGGCAAGGGCGCGGACTGGAGCAGGGTCTGCACTTGGCGGC